TAAGGAGATAGAAACAAGCAGGTGTTTTGTATGGACGTTTCACATTTGAAGTGTTTACATTGCTCAATCTTATTAATAAGCTCATGAACTAAAATAAATGATATTCAGAGCACTCAGCATATCCAAAGATGACATTTAGATTACAAATAGAAATCTCATCTGATCTTCCCCCGCCTTCTTTCTTCATTCTCTACATCACCTCTCTCCATATATAATAGGATCAGCATATTGTAGCATATGCTTAGTTTTATCATGTAGTCTCATACAAAATGAACAAGAATGAATATTAATTATATTTTTGAGAAGGAGTGATGGAATCAGAGGCATTGGGTAGAATACTTACAGATATGTAGCTGACTGCTATTTTCTAATTTAATCACAATGTACATGGCACATCTAAATATCCTATTATACTTTGTTAAATCCTCATTTTACTTTAATAAGATGAAAGGAACACTTTTTATATTATTAATGTAGTTAAAATAATGCAGTTATATATTGAAGTTGTTTTTTATTTTAAAGAGATTGCCCTATTGTTAGGAATTGACAGAAACCAGCCCTTAATTTATTGTTAAAATTGGTTCAGAGTAAAAATACTGTCACAAACCATGTAAAGAATCATCTCAAAAGGCAGCACATTCTTATATGGTTCTAACAATTTTTTGGTACAATATTTATCTTTTCTCCACATTTCCTATTTATGGTATCGTATCATCCCCACAATCTTCCAAATAAACTTGTAACTAAGATTAGCCAGTGATAGTTTTTTGATTCTATTTAGTTGAATCTGAGATGATTTTTAAAAATTAGATGATCTAATGGGTACTTGGTGACAGATCTGAGTAATATAATCAGGAATCCAAATTTTATATATTATATATACTTTATTACTGGAATATGTAAATGTATGTGAAACATTTACAAAAACTGAGCATATTTATTCTCACAAAGGAAGGCAATGTTTCCCCAGAGTAGAAGTAGAACTGTTTCACAACAGTGAAATAAAACAATGTTGAGGAAAATACTGGTCACTTAAAGTTTGTTTAGCAGTATTTTGAAAGGGAATCTTCAAATTTTAACTAGGTGATATATAACAAACATTTTTACATGTAAAAATCATATGAGCACAACTCAGTTATTCATAATCTTAAATCTTTATCAAAGAAAAAATGAAAAGCAAATGAACTCGGAACTTATTTCAAGATGTGAGAGAAAGAAAAGTCAGTTGTAGGAAACTAAAAGTAAAGCATTAAATTTTTATAATGAATTGGGAGCAGAAAACACTAAAATTGATGAGTAAAAGATTTTTATCTTAAAAATATCAGTTAGACAAATCTAGTTGATCTAATCAAAGGATGAGGAAATGAATATAAATATAAAACTTTAAGGATTAGGTCACACAGTCTGACTGACTCTTGATATATTATTGCAGCTCTAAGCTAATAAATGAACAATATTACCAGAATGAAGAATTTTCTAATAAAATATCAATTATCCCCTTCTTCAGTTAACTTAGGTCCAGGTAGACACAGATTTATAACCATGGAATAAGTGTTATATAGCACCCTCTCACCCCTAAATAAAGCCTCTCCATTTTTTGTTTGTTTGAGACAAGGTCTTAGTATGTAGTTCATCTGAACTTGAACTCACTGTATAGCCCAGTTTGGCCTTGAACTCAGAGCAGTCCTCCTGCCTCAGCCTCGGAGTGCCAGGATTACTTAGGCATTTTTAGTAATTTTGATAAGTAATTGTTCGTTATGAGTAGTTTACTGAAATACACAATCACTTTTAAAATTTTGGTTGAAATGTGTTTATGACATCCTTTAGCAGCAGTTTGTCTTCCCTTTCTTTCTTACTCTTTTCCTCCCTCATTCCTTCTCTTTCTTTATACCTTTCTTCCTATCAAATTCTATGAAACTGATGATCCCATAATTGTTCAGCTATTCTAGAACCTAAAAAAAGAATGAAACAGTGTCACAATCAGGATGATAACACTGATAAAGAGTCCAAATACAGAGTATTCCCATCACAAGAATCCCTCCTGTTGCCAATTTCAGTTAAACCTGCTTCCTTCCTGCCTCTGTTCCTTCCTTTTGGTATTTCAGGTGGTTTTCTATTAAAACATGGGAAATTTTTGGTTTTGTATATGAGATTAAATTTTTTAAATCTTACTGAGTTTATTGATGCTTTTTAAGAATACAGTACAGTTACATTCATCATTGGGATCTTGTACCCTTACGTGACAGATCTTGGTTCTCATTTTTTTTCCCATTCCCCTGCCCTCCTTTCACCCCCTCCACCCTCCTCTATTTACAGACTTTGCTTCCATTTTTCCTTTTCTCAAAGATTTTGTTTCCATTTTTTCCTTTTTCTTGTCCCTTAGGAAGAAAATGGCTAAAGTGCGAAGAGTAGGGGAAAGGAAATAATGGATATGAGATTAAATTTTATTTAATACATTTTGTATGTCTGTTTGGTACTGAGGATTGAACCCAGGCCTTTGCACTGAGCCCTTTGTATTTTTTATTTTGAGAGAAAGCCTTGCTTTTTTGCCCCAGCTAGGTTTGAACTTTGATCTTCCTGCTTCTTTCTCCCAAAGTACTGGGATGTAAGCATGTGACACTGGGTATAGAAAGCCAGTTCCTATGTGTCCAGTCCCTAATACCTTCCTGGGTAAGAGGAGACTCCGTGCTTCCCAGGTGATTTCTATTGATCCTGTTATGGGATAAGTAGATCAAATTCTTGTCACAGCCTAGGACTGGGTGTGGGGCAGTTTTCTCTGTAATGTTTAGCAGAAGTAGACCAATTATTATCTAAAGGTTTTCTCTTCATGAGCTGTCCCTTTCCTGGTCTTTTGTTTTGAGAGAGCAGACTTTTGTTGGAGCTTTTTGGCTGTGCTCTTGGCCATTTCCAGGTTTCTGGCTATTTAAGTTCCAAGCATGGACATATGAGGCCAGGAGAAAGCTGGGCTTAGGTGCTGAAGTAGAGTTCTGAGGTGTTGGAAGTCTCAATTGCTAGTCACCTTCCCTGTGGCTTTCAGAATCCTCTTCAGTTTATTCGTATATGATACCCAGAGTTTTTTATTTGTGCATAATGAGAATTAGAAAAAATATTTTACTGTGTTATTTTGGAAGTGAAAATTTCCATCACATCTACCTTTTGTGTATATTTCATTTGTTCCAACAGCAGATACAGAATTTACTTCATATTATTAGAAAACTAATTACTTTCTCAAGAACATACTGTCTGGAGCCAGGCATGGAAGTACACACCTCAATCCCTGAATTCCACGAGATTGAAGCAGAAAGGTTGCCAGTTTTTGATTACCAGTGGGTAACTCTTAGTGAGACCCTGTCTCATTGAATGGATAAGGATGTAGCTCCATGTGAAGGCCTTGGGTTCATCCGTAGGGAGAATAATGGGGTGGCGTGTGCCTGGTAAACTAGTAGGCATTCTCTAGTTTTTCACAGTGAAATCAAATAAAGTTTATTATAAGTTTTGAGGTCATTTTTTTGTACAAAGATAATAGTTAAGTTATTTGAAAATATCAGAGACTTCAATTTCTTATTTCTGGTGATTGTAGGTACCATTACAGCTACAGATCATTAGTTGGAAGGACTTGGTGAACTTTAATTTCATGCTCAACTTCTTAGTACTCATAGCACATAGTTTGTTACAGGTAAATCCTGATATTTAAAAAGACCTGTATACTCTTTAGTGAAAAGTCTGATTTTTAGTAGTTAAAATAATATTGACCATTAGTGCGTGTTGAGAACACTTTATTTTTTTTCTTTATTTTTTTCTTAAATAATTGAATTTATTGGTACATTTTAGGGATACAGGACAGTTACATTCATTGTTGGGATCTTGTACCTCTACATGACAGATCTTGGTTCTCATTTTTTCCCCTTGTCCCTGCCCTCCCTTCACCCCCTCCTCCCCTCCTCATTTACAAACACTTTATTTCCATCTTTTCACTTTCTCACATATTTTTATTAGTCCATGTTTGCAGTATATGATGATTACATTCATGATGGGAAGTTGGTACACACACACACATTTAAATTGTTTTTTTCTTCCCCTTCTCTCCTTCCATCTTTTGTTCCTCTTCCCCTTTGCAAAAGATCAGGAGAGCATGTAGTTTTAGATGTTTATTTTCAGTTTCTATACATTTTGTAGAATGATGTTGTCAGCCTTGTGGACCCAAGTCTTGGTGCCTGAAATTCTTTTTTGTGTTTTTCTACCTGTCTTCCAGAGAAATAAGTATTGGTATTATTCCTTTCCTTGGATTTTCCCAGATCTCAATCATATAAGGGGTTTAGTTTCAATTTCTTACACCTGTATTTCTGCCTCTCCAGTTGTATTTTCTATTTGTGATCATTATTTTAAAATCTGTTCATGGTGCTCACATAGCAATTGTGTTTGTAAGTCAGCTATATTGGGCACAAAAACTGTAATCATCCTAAGGAGATTTCAAGACTATTGTGTTGAAATGTCCTCTAGCATGTGCTCCTTTTCGAATGCTTACTTCTAGAATTTGATGCTTTAATGGATGAATTCTCTGTTCTTGAGAAACTGGGCTAATCAGAACAATTTACGTTCAGTAGGCCCTAAAAAATTTAGGTTGGACTAGTTAAATAAAATTTTTTCTCCTGAGACTTTTCCCCCCACACTACTGAGTCTGAATTGAACTTTGCACTGAACTACACTACAGACCCATCTTATCTTATCCTTTCCTTCCTTCCTTTTTTCTTTTTTCAGTAGGATCTAAGTTTCTAAGTTGTCCAGGCTGAGCTAGAACTTGTCCCGTCTCTGCCTACAGAGTAGTAGAGATTATAGTCTATAGCACCTTGCCTGCATACTATTTTAGAATCCTCTGTAAAAGGAGAGGCAGAAACAATTTCATTATTGAGGAAAAGATTACAAAGAATATAGTAAGTTACATGTAAGAGGAATTTACCTTGCTTCTCTGACACAGTCTGGCTCCTCTCTGTATCCCACAGCTGGCCCTGAAGGACCCTGTGCACACAGTGTCACTGCAGCAGTTCATCTACGAGAAACTCAAGGCACAGCAGGAGGTCCTGGGAGAACAAGGCTTCCAGTCTCTCATGGAAACAGTGGACACAGAGATTGTCACCCAGCTGCAAGAGTTTTTGCAAGGATTCTAAGAGCACATGCCACATGACCATCAACTTTCTGAGACAAGCTGAATAACCCAATCTGTCAACTGTTTGTGCAAGCCTGCTGAAATGAAAGGTCACTTATGTATGAAGATGAAACAGAGACACACACTTTTTTTTTTACTATAAAATATAAAGATAAAAATGTAAATTCCATATAACTAAAATCACAGACCTATTCCTCAGAAGAATTTAATTTTATATTTATAAAGGGGCCCTGTGTTTAGTAGAGGTGTAGTAATTGACAGTAGCTACTTAATTTCCTGTTAAGAGAAGGTACTTCGATTATCTTTTAATCATGTACTCTGGAAAAGATGAAGGTTAATGTCTGAGATGTTTTTCTGTAACCAAATTTAGTTAAAATTGGCTGCTTTGTCTTTTCTTCAGCTGATGAAACAAGTTGAAAAATGGACAAAGCTGTTTAGATGATTCCATTAAAGAAATGCGTGCACCAGGCAAAAATATATAAATAGTGACAAATATACATTCCCAAGATTATCTTGCAACGGAGTTGTGTTCATCCTGACAGAGAAAACATATTTTATTAGACAAATTTATTTTCATTCTAGTAATCTGGCATTTTTTTCTTGTTTTATATTCAGTAAAGACATTTAGTCCGTAAGTATACATTATAAGGCCACAAACCTGTAGTACCAGGTGAGAGACCTATGTCCTTTTCGTGTTTATTCCTAAAAGCCAGAAGCCCTGTGAGTACTGCGCTTCTCCCAGTGCCCTGTGCTGTGTCAGTCCACATGCTGTAGTGGCTGTTCAGCACTTGTCCACCTCAGGTCCCTCAATTAGCGATGCATCAGGGCCTCAGAAGACTGGCAGCAGTCCCCAGGTTGCCAACACTGGTATAACTAGTCTTCCTTCCTTATTCCTCCATCAAGCAGTACATAAAATGGGGAAAAGGACAAAATAAAGCCTTACTTTGTTGTATTTGCCATTTATTGTAAGGAATCTTTAAAGCATTTTTTTAGAAAATACAAGCAAGGTTGGAAACTATCTTATCTTTCTATAGAAAGTTGGGTACAATATGTAACTGAGAAACCCACTGTCCCTTTGTAAGCTGTAGAACTCAAAATGTCTGGGAATATTTGATGTTTTCAGCAAGGAAAGAAAATATGGTCCAAATTAAATTTTCCAAAGATACTTCACCTTGGACTGATTTGTATGATTATGTTTTTTGCCTCAATCAAAAAGAAAATCATAAAAATTGCCAGTGAATTATAGGGGGAGATTTTCTTCTATACAGTGGACCATCAGGTTCCACCCAACCTGATGTATGAGCAAGTTGGGTTATGACTGGAATTTTAGTTTTCACTTATGAGCAAAATCTTGAGTTACAACCCGAATGCCAGCTGCTTATGCTTCCATATGGTTTCAGATACAGAATTAACCCTTAAAGAGTTCTGTAAAATGCTTTAAAAATTTATGTATCTTGAATTTTTTTGTGCTCAAGATATACAGTGTTGTTGATAGAACTCTGTTCATGAGTACAACTTTACAGCAAATACATTGTGTCTTGGTCACACAGTTCAGCCTGTTGTGGCTCCTATTCAAGGTTTCCATTGAATGAATATATTTCTATTTGATTGATTTTATATTTAAGAGTTTGTGCCCACCTCTGACCAGAGCCCCTATGACCAACAGTAACATTTTGAAGTTTTATCATAAATTGAACTCTCGAGTATTTTTAGAGAAAAACATCATTACATGCTAAAATACTTCTATAATTATTCTTGAAAAATCTTCCCTTTTTGATCTTTATTCGTTTATCCAACTAGTATCTGTTGAGTTCTTGGTTTTGCCTTAATGCTTTCTACTTGCCTTCGGAGGTAGGGCAGGGTACCTACTTTCATGAAGTTGTACAGTTCAGGAGTCACACAAACTTGCCAACAAGCCATAAGAAAATGGAATTTCTGATGGAAGTGCAGGGTGCTGGGGAAGGAGACTGTGTACAAAAGAAACTGGTGCCATCACTGGCTTATTTAGGAGCCATTTAAAGCTTGCTCTCAAAAGGCATAATTTGGTAAGGTTATTTAAAAGTAAATGGCACTGTACTCAAACTGGGAGCTCCATAGTCAACAGTTACTTGAAATCACTAACATACAAAGTCATCACGTGAGTTTTTCATATAGTTGGCTCTCTGTAGCTTCACTAATTCCTGTTCTGTGAATTAAAGCATAAGTTCACTTAAGGTTTTGGTCTTCTACAAGCCTTCTGAGCCCCAAATGACTTAAAATTTAAGATCATTGGAGAAATAATGAAAGACAAAAATGTATGTTATGTAAAACAAAAATATTTTTTCTTCCCCTTTAGAAAATAATTTTAATCTACAGAAACATTGAAAGAAATAATAAAGTGCTGCCCAGTCTACCTTGCAGATAGGACATAAGAACTAGTATTCAGCTGTGTGTGGTGGCACATGCCTGTAATCACAGCACTCAGGAGGCTGAGGCAGGAGGATTGCCATGAATTCAGGGTCAGCCTGAACAAAACATGATTGTCTCAAAAAACAAACACATCAAAAAAGTGCTAGCACTCATCCCCTAGTACCTCAGCATACATTTAAGAATGACATTCTGCTATATATCCATGCCACAGTGCCACTTAATACCCAAGAATATCTGAAAAAGAAAAGTCCAAATTTTCTCAACTATCTGAAAAATGTCATTGTATACTGCCCATCTATACATTGTACAGTGGTTACCTCAGTTCATGAACTTAATTCATTCCACGATTCTGGAAAAGATAGCCACAATGGTGTTCATATGGGAAAGATGACTGCAGTTGTACTGGTCATTTGATGCAGAGTCGGCAAACAAAAAATTTTGCTAAATGCTTCTGTTTGTAAACCAAATTGTTCACAAACAGTAGCACTTGTGAATGGAAGTACCACTGTATTTGGCTGTTTGACTTTTAAATATAGAATTGTTTTTTCATTTTCATTGGTTAATTTGAAGAATTCAAGGTGAGTATACAGTTTTTCTTATTGCAGAATTTTCTAATTTCCTCATAATTCTATGAGGAAGCACATCATGTTATGCATTTTCTATTGATGCTAAGTGGTTAAGGTAGTATTACAATCTTACCAGTGTTTTTTATTTACTTGAGTCATCTCTGACCAGCACCACCTTGCCTATATAGTCATTTACACATCTTCTCCAATTTTATTTAAGTCTGGAAAAATAGTATGACTGAACTATGGAAAAGATGTGTTGGACATGATGCAAGTTTCATCAGCTTTGTTTCTGAAACTCACAACCCTTAGCTAAGAGTCATACTGTCAACCCCAACTTGTTTTTTGTTACGTGGATCTTTGTAAATGTATATCCTGAACTCACACAGCACCGAAGGCAGAACATTGGTTTTCTCAATACTAAAACACTGGTTGGATTTGGCAAGGTAAAGAGCCAAATATGCAGTAATGCTTATCTTATTAGTGAAATTCATATTTGGATTGGGTTCAAAAATGCAGGAACATGCGAGCATTTATAGAGCATTTTTTGTCTTGTGGTTTAGCATGGGAAGTAGTACATCAGTTGGCAAAATGAAGAGAGTAATCATTTCCTCAAATGTGAAGCTTTGATCTTGGTAACAGGACTGAGATCGGAAAAAGAAGCTTAACGTCACTTTTTTTCCCTTAAGAAACTTCATTCTGTTCCATCCCCAAATTACTTGGAATTGGTGTCCTATAACAGCAGTGAGAAATCATGTAGCTGTAGAATTTAAGCTTCTGTACAGCTTTGGGCTGTCTGTCTGAGTTGAGCTTCACAGCCTTGCTTGAGATCATTACCCTGATGGCTTCGAAAGGTTTACAGCCATTGGTCTGAGTTTTGGTTTTTACCTCTCTTAGCCTGAGGAATTCCTTATATAGTCTGAAGCACTTGGATGAAATTCAAAACTGAGAATTGTTGCTCATGTTTTATCTTGAATTTTTCCTTAAAGTATAACAGGGAAAGAATCCTTGATTAGCCAGAGATCTTTAACAAGCAAGATGTTTCTCTTTGCTCCTATTCATGCCTGTATCCAACTCATTTGAACCTATCTGTTCATTTAGTGAGGCATGCTTGAAAATTGTCTAATCCAGGAAGGAATATATTGATGTATGGTCATCTAGCCTTTTTTCCTTCAAAGTGAAACTTTGAACTTTATGCCATATTAACTTCCTGGTAAAAAATAGGAGTTGCTATGTAGAAACTGCTTGACCAGGTATGATTCCAGGGAGGCTTACAGCATTTCTGTGTACCACCAGGCAGATAATTTTAAATTGGAAAATAGGCCTTTGACTAGAATAATTTTGGGGGATTTTTTATTGCAAGGGTTAGGGCAGGAAAGACTGGAATGAAAGATTGTGAAGAGAACTACAGGTAAGCTTTTAGTTTTAATCGCTTTCATGTGAAGTGAGACTGGCTTCTCACTGCAAAATGAGCAGGTCATTTCCACAATGCTCTCAGCCCCAAAGTGGCCTGTTTTTCTTTTTTAACACTGAAATTTAAGATGATTTTCAAGAGCAAAACTTTTTGATTGACAGGAAATTTGTATTTCATAAAAAGTGTTCACTGAGCTCAGAAGTATATTGACAGCCAGCTGGGAAAGGAATGTCTGTTGACAGAGCTCAAGGTAATCTCAAACTAATTATGAGCTCTATTTAGTCAATGAAGCCAGCTTGGTTTATTTTTTGGATTGAAGTGCACATGTTCTGTGCTGTCTCTGCAGTGAAATCAATACCATGAGATGGCCTATTTCTTTCAGCCTTTCTTTACTTAGAGCACAATGCATGGAGCAATGCTGAATGGGGTGGGCAAAGCCAATATTTTATTATATCTCCTGTATGTAAGTCAACGCATGGTTTGAATATGAAAACCTAAACTTACTGAAATAATAGATTAGGAAGTTGATTATTTAAAAAGTTGCATTGTACCTGTCCTGTGGAAAGGCTATTCCTCGTAATCACATTGACTAAAGAAAAGGTACACTGTGTTTCATTATTATTACTGTTGTTTTCAGTAATAGAATTTCAGAACAGGAAGGAGATCAGAGAAAGATGATTTATTCTGTCCGTATTATTTCACAGACAAAGAAACAAGGCCCAAAGAGGTAAGGCCTACACTGTGCATCCCTGAAACCTGCTCTCATGTTTTCAATTATACTTATTTTTTAAAAGTTTATTGTTAATTTAAATATACAGTATGCTTTTTAATTAATCTAAATCTTCCTTTTAAAAAACATGATTTGAGGCCAAGGAGATAGACTACATAGGTTTAAATAAACCATGTTTTGCCAGCTCTTCCTACCTGATTGCTTTTCCTATGGTCAGAGCAGTACAGAAATCTGACTCAGAGTTTCAAGATATTAAAAGAGATAAAAAATTGAGTTTCCTTGGCTCCTTTCTACCTGTCTTTATTTCTTCTTTTATACACCCAAGTTCCTGACCTATAATCATTTTTTTCAATTTTTATTAGTACATGTTTGTAGTACATAATGATTAGACTTATTTTGGGGAGTTGGTATCTGTACATAACATCGTAATTCTGTTTTCATCCCTTCCTCCCCACTCCCTTTATCTGTTGGCCATTTCCAAAAACACTGTCTCCTGATTCCCTACTATTGGTCTTTTATCTTACTCTTTATTTGTGCTTTGGGTTTCTTGTAGAACAAATCATGCAGTATTTAAGCTTCTTTAATTATTTATTTCACTTAACATTATTGTCTCAAGGTATATTCATTTTGCTACAAATAATTCAAGCTTATCTTTCTTTATGGTAAGAGTAGTACTCCATTGTATACAGATACCACATTGTCTTTATCCATTCATCTGCTGATGGACATAAAACTTCTGCTATAGACATGGGTATGCATGTATCATTGTAATATGATCTACGCTTTTATCTCTTTGGAAAGATACCTAGAAGGGGAATTTCTGGGTCACATGAAGCTTCTATTTTTAGTTTCTTTGTTTTAGTACTGGAATCAGGCTCAGGACCTTGCACTTGTCATGCAGGTGTGGTGCCACTGAGCTGTATCCCCAGCCCTATTTTGGTTTTTTAAAGGAATCATTATACTGATGTCTATAATGATTATACTAACTTACAATCCAATCCCACAATGGTGGAAAGGTTCTTTTTCTTCCATAACCTCACCAACATTTGTTATTATATGATTTCTTGATGGTAGCCATTATTTCTGGAATAAGATGGAACCTCAGTGTTACTTTAATTTGAATTTCTCTAATGGCTAGAGAGGTTGAACTTTTTTTCTTGTATTCATTTACCATTTGTAAATCTTACAAAAAGTAAAATATTCATTTTAGTTGCCCATTTTTTTATTGGATCTTTTATTTTGGGGAGTTTTAATTTTTAGGGTTTATTTTTTAGATGTTTATATATTCTCTCTGTTGGAGGAATAGCTGGCAAAAATGGTTTTCTTTTCACTCTCTTGGCTTTTCACTCTCTTGGCATTTTAATTTCATATAATCTCATTTGTTTGGCTGGGGATTTAGCTCAGTGGTTCTGGTGCCTGCCTCAACAGTGCAAGGTCCCCTGAGTTCAATCCCCAGTACCCCCCGAGTCTTACTTGTTGATTTTTTTTTTTGCTTATCATCTTTATTGAAGTTATACAAAAAGCATCCCCAAAAGTGAAAAAATAGATTATATACAGAAACACCTTCCTCTGGGAAAAAGTTTCTGTTCCCTTTCTCAACATGCAGTGGTTTCATCTGCAGCACCAACCTCTACTTTCCCCTCCACTGTGGTCCAGCTGTCAGCCTGTTTGTCAGCTTGGAAGACAAACAAGGAGCTTGGGCATAAGTGACTGGTTTAAGCCGATCTATTTTACACAAGCAGAAGGAAGTGAACACAGGCCCCCACTTCACTGGTTCTTCCTCCCTACTCAGAGCAATTGCTGTAATAGGATACATTATATGGAAAAGAGCCAGCAGAAATGAGTAAGTCTTGCTAATGATTCAAACGCTTTCTCATACATTCCTTAGAGGACCTGTAGTGCATGACAATGATATGCCTATCTACCGTACTATAACCTGTTATCTGCACAGCTGTTGTTCTATGAGGGCTGCATTCAAGCAATCCAAATAGGCTCACAATGAGGAGCACACATTGG